ACAATTTAAAAAATAAAGTAGTAAAGTGAGTTTATTCTTTAGTTTTATTGTGTATTTAAAGAATGAGTTAAAAAAGAATGAGTTAAGATATTTAGGCTTTAGAATAAAATGTTATAATGTTCTATTAATTCTTTAATGTACTTAGCTTTGAGCAGTAGATTCTGGGACTTGAACCTGGACTACACAGATAAATGGTAGGGCATGTCTAGCATTCTACCATTGAGTGCCCAGAGCCCCTTAGTATTTAACTTGAAAATATAAGTCAAGAGTTCAGTGCTGTGAGTTTGTATCTTCTTTTTAAAAATGATTATTCACAGACCTTCAATTTTGTTTTGCTCTATTTTTAAACACTCAACAAATTTCAAATCATCACCATCGAGATATTTTCACCTTAGATTTCTGTTTTGCAGTCTTTCCATGGACTTTGAGTCCTGTGGTGACTACTTTACAGAAGTGGCCTGGCTACTGTAACAGAGCCTAAATAATAGTGGCTCAAGTCTGAGCTGCCACATCGTCTGGGGAAGGTGGGAACCCAGGTGCTCTGAGATCAGCCCTCATGAGGGATGTAGGAATGCAGCACACTATTAGGTCAGCTCTCGTCCCTCAGCGGCTTCCCTTTCTGTGTGGTTGTAGGGGGCACAAAGACGGGGAGCCCGCAAACGTCTTCTGGAAAGGCTCAGAGAGTAAAAGAGGAAGGCTGTGCAAGTCACATGTGCTCTGGTGCATGCTCTTCTTGTTTGTGTAAATCCTTTAAAACTGTATTGTAAGGGCCAGCCAAATAGCTCCGCAGATTAAAGTGCCTGGAAGCAGGCTCAGGGGCCAGGAGTTAAATCCCCAGGCCTGCAGTGCCGGCCCCACCCCCGCCCCGGGGCGCCCTGAGAGGGCAATTGAGACTGGGCGTGGTGGTGCACACCTGTAATCCCAGCTCTTGGGAGGCTGTAAACAGGAGGATCACTACAAGTCAGATCTAGTAGTGAGACCCTGAACACTATAGACTCTTACCTAAAATACAAAAAAACCCAAACCCAACCAACCAACCAAAAAAACCCCCAAAAAACTGTATTGTATTTCTGTATCTGGAATCGAACTCAGGAGCTTGCTCTTGCCAGGCATACACTGTGCTGCTGAGCTACATCCCTGGCCTTAAAACTTTAGATTATTCATATTTTGTAGTCCTTAAGAAATCTGGACCCAGAGCCCCAGGCTACATTCATCACACTTGCTATTATTTTGCCAAAAACTATTTCAAGGGCATTACCTATAAATAGCACTCTTTCTCATCCTTAAAATAGAGGCAGTAAGAGCATCTATTTCAGAAGGTCCTCAATAAGATTAAAGTGAGATAATATATTCAAAATAGTGTCTGGCAAAGAGAACTCAGATATGGTAGCTGTTTTTGTTAATACTGTATTTAATTCTACCTAGAGAATTTTACATTTTCTGTTTAATTGCTCATGCTGTCGTCAGATTTGGCAGTTCTGTCTCAGCCTCCCAAGTAGCTGGAAATATAAGTATGTGCTTAGTTTGTATTGTATTATATTGTACTGAATAGTATTATTGATTGATTGGTTGATTGTGACAGGGGCTTTATTTTATTTTTTTGTGGAACCAGGGATTGAACTCAGGCCCTTGAGTTTGCCAGGCAAATGCTTATTCTACTGAGCCATCTCCCTGGCCCCATAATATAATATATAATTTAATTTTTTTTTTTTTTTTTTTTTTTTTTTTTGGTGGAACTGGGAATTGAACTCAGGCCCTTGCTGTGCAGTTCAGGCTGGCCTTGGACTCACAGCAGTCCTCCTGCCTCAGCCTACCAGGTGCTGGGATTGCAGGCATGCACTACCACACTCAATGGCTTTTGCTGTTTTGTTTTTTTTTTTTTTTTAAACAAAACTTTGTAGTACATCTTCTACTGGTCTGTTTACAATGACTCCTTTTGTGTACTTTTAGCTATTTTTTCTTAGCTTTCATTGGCTGGCTTCGAACTGCTGGCAATCCTCCTGTCTCAGTATATATCACCGAGCCCAGTATGTTTCTTACTCCTTGTTTCTGGTGCTTTACCAGTGTGGCTTTCATCTCTTCTCTTGTCATATTACTCAATTCTTTTTGAGGTCTTTTTAAAGGAAGTTCCTATCTGGAACATCTATGAGATTAATGAAAACCGTCTCTGCTTTTCTTTTTCTTTATATTTGGTTTTCTCTACTTGCCTGTTGCTTATCGTCCTTTCTGCCTTTGGATTTGGGGAGTGTGTTTTGTGTGTGTCCTGTGCTGGCTTTCTGATTGTCCACCCCGCATTGAATGAGTTTATAGTGTGAAGAAGGGTTGCTGCTAGGTCTACAGCTTTCCTCAGATTTGTTGAGTCAAATGTGTTGTCATCTTTGCTTTGGAGCATGCCCCTGTGTTGGTGTTTTGGGGTCTTCTGGACCCTTTCAAAATATAGTTGTCTCTCAGTAGTGGAAGGGGACCCAGAAATCTGCGGGTGCTCCCTGTCATTAGGTAGAATGGCACACAGCGTTTGTGCAGAGCCTGCACACATCCTCCTGTGAGCTTTAGATTATCTTGCATTAGGTACACTGCCTAACAGAATGGAAGCGCTGTGTGGATAGTGGTACTGTGTTGTATAGGAGATGACAAGAAAATTAGTCTGTATGTGCTCATTGGAGACACCTTTTTTGCTGAGTATTTTTCACTGGAAGTTGGTTGAATCTGCAAGAATGGCCCTGTGGATATGGAAGGTTAGGAAGGTTCCCCCTTCCCTTTCCCTTGCCTTGTCTGCCTCAGCCAGCTGAGTGTCCATGGACAACAGGAAAGGCCTTCAGAATGAGGGGCACGGCTGCTCTGCAGAGCGTCCCCACATCCTGGGGCTGCTCCTTGGCCGCCTGGGTCCCAGGTCTCATCTTGGTGAGAAATCCACGGCCTTGAGCTTTTGTGACCCCAACCTCCAACGTTTCTCCTTTCCTGGCTGCATCCCAGCCTCTCTTTATGTTGGTCCAGGGTTGCTGACCTTAAAGCCAAGATGCCTAAAATAGGGCAAACAGCGGGGCATCTCAGTCACACAAGATGGGTGTTGTGCATGGATCCAAAGGACCTGGAATGACACCTCCACCTCCACTGTGACTGAGAATGACCTTTGTTCTTTGCCTCTTGGGTTTCTGTTTGCTGTAATACTGTGCATATTTTTAAAACTTTCATATCTTCTGCTTCAAAAACCAAGATGCCTTCCAGTGTAGATTGGATGGAGACATGCACATGCCCTCACTCTCTGTGTAATGATGTTTTCCACTTGGTGTTGCGTTTTTTTCCAGCTTTTAAAAAATTTCTTTATTTGGTACAGGATCTCACTACACAGATGGAACTCACAGTGATCCTCCTGTTTCAGCCTCCCCAGTGCTGGGATTGTAGGTGTGTACCACCATGCCTGGTTTCAGTGGTGACATGGTGCACCTGGACCCAGGATCTAACCCCTGGGCCTTGTGCTTGCCAGGAAGGCCTTAGACTGCTGAGCTATCTCCCCAGCCCTTTCACTTGCGATTATTAGAATTGGTTTTGGTGACTGGAGAAGGGAGGGAAAAAGATACCTCCCTGATGAATTCAAATCTCATAGCTTTATTTTGAAAACTTTAAAAGCACAGTACTACAACTCAGAATTGACTGTTTTTGTCACATGCCTGGGAAGATTTTTTCCTCTTAGGAGAGGAAGCTAATTTAATAGGTATAGCTGAGAGGACTCTTGATTCTCTGTTTGTATGTTTTAAAATATAAGTACAGATTCCTTTAGACATCACAAAGCTTGTTTTGTGTTTTGAGCACTTAGCAGATGGTATCCTGTTGTTTGATTGCTGTATAGCTTGTATTTCTCCATTTCCATTGTTATGAAGTTGGTTTGATATACAGGCTTGATTTTGCTGCTGCTCTTCACTGGCGCGTATTGTTCCACCATGTGACGGAATTGCACTGTGTTGTTCTGTGAGGCATCCTAGGCTGCCCTGTCTGGTGTGCAAGCATTTCTCAGCGAGACGTCTGCGCACAGGGTCGGGAGGTCTGTGCCTCTTCATGCTTTCCAAGATTGTCCATCAGTACTGCTTCCACCTGTCCAGTGCACACCATGGTGGGAGGGGGCCGTTTCCCCCACCCCGGCCATGCTGGACGTCAGCCTGTGCTGTGGTCACCTTTCTGCTACTTCTGCTCTTCTGAGCTGTCTTGAAATGAATGGACATTAAAGAACGATGCTTCTCTGATGGGTTAGATTTTTGGCTGTGTGTAAGTGAATACTGGAATAGAGGAGAGTAATAAATTATTTAACCAGAAGTCCTACCAAATATAGTCTGTGCTGCATGTTTGACATGAGATGATATTTCTACAGTGCCAGTGCCCGCCCCCCCCCAAAAAAAAAAAAAAATTAAAGTTTAAGGGTGCTGGGTCTTTTTCTGGTTGGAAGAGGGGCCAGGGAAACGTGCATTGTATGTCTGGTAAGGACACCACGGGCTTGAGGGCTTGAGTGCCATTTCGCCTTGGTGTGAACTTACTCTTGGAGCTCTTTTCTCACCTTTTTTTTTTTTTTTTTTTTTAACCTGAAAATCATTAAAAAGGTTGCAAGTGAACTCTGAAATGATTACTGCTAATGTGGGGAAGGAAATGTTAATTCAGGTGTATTGGTTCAGTACAGTAAGGGGCGAACAGCTGACTCTGCTTTCGGACTGTGTGACTCCTGTACTTTTCTGGTCTGTGAGGAGGTGAGTTCCCCAACCATGAGGTCAGGAAATCAGTATTGTCAAAGGTCTAACTGGTGGTCCCCCCTCCCCCCCACTTGATTAGATGCCTTTTTTGTCTCTTTATTTCTTTTTGTTTAAAAAAGGCACAGTGAGCCAGGGAAGATCGCTCAGTGGCATGAGTGCCTGCCTGGTAAGCGCAAGGTCATGAATTGGAACCCTGTTACTGAAAAAAAAAAAAAAAAAAAAAGGCACAGTTCCTCATGTTTGTACTTTTCCACTTTCTTTTAGAAAAGCAAGAGGAAAGGGCATGAATATACCAACATTAAGTATTCCCTAGCAGACCAGGCGGGTGGCGATCCGAGTCCCCTCCCTCCGTGCACACCAACGCCAGCCTGTGCGGAGTAAGTAGCGAGAAGGGAAGTCCTCCCTACCTGGACTCAGTTCTGTGAAAAGGCTTCATGACAGCAGCAGCGGTGGTGGCAGGAAAGTTTTGCATCCGGGGCTCCCTGCACACAAAGGCACTGTCTAGTGGCAGGGGTACTGGTAACTGGCAGCTGCGCTGGATTGTGCACATGCTGTCTGAGCCAAATCTTTTTCCTGAACTGAAGCCTGACCCTGTGCTGACTAGAATGATGGGGGTTTAAGCTTGTCCAGGAGAACCTGAGTTTGCTCTTACAGGTGCAAGGAGGGTTGATGCAGAGGGAGGTAACATCCCTTGTACATTAAGTTTCATGTTAAATAGGAGCAATAAATTAGCTATAAACCTGTCAGCACAACCTTGGTCTGCTGACTTTCCAATAGTCAGCAAACTGCAGCCCACAGGCCAACTCTAAAAGCAGCAAAACAAAACAAAACTTCAAAGAGTAATATGTGATGGAAACCATATGTGGCCTAAAATACTCACTGTGTTCTCTCCAGAAAATCTTTGTTAACTCCTTGTTTAAGCCAAAACATTTGTAGCAAAACATTAGTTAAATTGATGTGAAAAGCAATTTTAAGTTATTTTTCTATGTATTGTATTCAAAAGGCACCCTCTGTATAACATTTACTTTTTATTTTCCCTTAAGAATCTTATCTCTATTTGCTCCTGATGTGGATTTTTAAAGCTCTGCTGACTTTAATATTGTATCTAAACGTTTCCAAGAGCAGATAGAGGCTTGTATTTACCTTGGCTTTCTGCTTGCATCAAAATGAGATTATATAGCAGAAGCCTTCTCCCCTCCAGGTTACCTCTTCCTTCTGCTTGCTTTTTCTGTCCCAGTGGACTGACTGGGAAAGTTGATATTTCAAATCACTATCTGCAGTAATTTGCAGCGGCGCCAGGATGTCAGAAAGCCTTCCTCTGAGCCTGTCCTGAGACAGGCTGTCCTCTACTGTCCCAAAGTCCCTCTCAGGCTGGCACTCAGCTCCTGGTTCTTCATTTTCCTGGACCACGTTGATCCCCACCCCCTCACCTAGTAGGACCTGGGGTGCCTTGCTGCTGGAACCCGCCCACTCAAGTGGCAAAATGCCTGTGGCCTGTCCCAGACCCTGGCCTGAGGCTTATCACTGCTGGCTGCTCTCCCACTTTCCTGTCCTGGAGTACTTGCCTTTTCCCACCCCACTACTGGCAGTGTGATGTCCCAGCCCCTTTGTGGTACCCTGGTACCTCTTCCTGCAGGCCCCTGGTCTTGCCTGCCTGGAGTACAGCCTGCCTCCCCAGCTCTGCCTTCTCTGGGCCTTGCGGCTCCTGGCCCTTGTTTCATGTCACCATGACATTGCCGTATGTCTGTCTTACATCCTCCAGTAGCATCAGTGCCCGGGGTTGGGGGCAGATGGGGGCCCACAGGATGCAGCGCGTGCTCTGTGAGGGGCGAGTAAGCTTATGCAGCATGGCCTGCAGTTCTGAAGGCATGTTCTCCCTTTTCCATGCAGAATGAGAGAAGATAGCGCCAGAGTCTACGAGAACGTGGGCTTGATGCAGCAGCAGAAGAGCTTCAGATGAGAGGAGCCGCCCAGACTCCAGCACCCTGGAATGAGGTATTTCAGCACCACTGCTCCCTGGGGGACTTGTTCAGACAATTTGCATCATTTGAGAGCAGTGAGTGTCTCTGCACAATATGCTGTAATTGAGCTTTGCAACCTGGCCTCCTTCTTCCTCGCCTTGTACTTTTTTCTCCAGGTAGATTTAATTTACAGTTTATTAAGCATTAAAATCAGATACAGAATCAACTGCACAAGAGGTAGAGTAGCTCTTGGTCCCGGGAAACAGTTGATTGTGGTGGCACACAGCAGGCGTCACTGTTCTTGCAATTTCTATTAGTGCTGCTTTACCAGGCTTTACCAGAACGCTCTGTCGGCATCCAGGAGCGCTGGAACACTGTTCCAGGTGTGGGGATCAGGAGACCTGAGCTCTTCCCAGGTGACCTCTGAGTGGCTGTGAGGCTTGGAGTGCTGGGCTTCCCTGGCCTCTGTCTGAGTCAGCTCCATATTTCTGCCAGCTCTGCGGCTAGGAATTGATCCAGTGCCTTTAGGGAGTATCTGCCCAGTTGCCTGTTTAGATCAAGATGCAGGTGTGCACTGTGTGTCTTCAAGAAAGTGAGAAACTGTCATGTCATGATTTCATGTCGAAATTTCCATTTCTATGGCCACATATTTATTTATTTAATCATTTATTTATTTATTTATTTGGTACAAGGTCTGGCTACACAGCTAGGACTTGGAGTGATCCTCCTGTCTCAGCCATCCTAGCGCTGGGATTACAGGCGTGCACCACCATGCCCGGTTTTGGGGCTGGCATGGCATGAGGTACCAGGGATCGAACCTGGGTCCTTGCGCTTGCCAGGCAGGCGCTTAGACTCCTGAGCTATCTCTCCAGCCCATAAGGCTACGTATTTAAAGATGTAAAGTCAGCTGGGCCTAGTTGTATGTACCTGTCATCCTAGCACCCTGGGAGGCCAGGACAGGGAGACTGGAAGTTTGAGCCCAGCTTTAGCAACTTAGTGATTTAGTGAGACTATATCTCAAAAGAGAAGGGAGATGGGCTCAGGATGTAGCTTTGTGTAAAGGCCTTCCCTGCGTTCAGTCCCTACTGTCGCACCTGCAGAAGCTTTAAATGTACTTTAATATAGTCTGGGGCTGTGGGTGGTGCCTAGTGCATGTGCAAAGCTCTGGGTTCAAGTTTCAGCACTACAGATATTTAAATTAATAAACAAGTCTGTGCTCTACCAAGCTTTTTAGATATATGCTCCTTAAAAATTTTAACTTATTTCTTTTCCAGATGTGGACTTTTACCCTAGATGAGGAACAAATGTGCAAGAAAGCTGACATGAAGACTGAATTTGGACTTGAAAGACTTACATTGAGGCTGGCTACCTTTTGATAAGCAAAAATTGAAACCACTTACAGACCACTGTATTCTAATCCAGCATTTCCTCAGATCAGAAGAAATCATCTCTACAATGTAGAAAATGCTGCATTTTATAGGATTTTGTTTTAGATTGAAGAAACAGTTAAACTGTGTTCTATGTTTTACAGATTATGGGGATTCGAATTCTGGTTATGAGAAATTTCTTTTTTCTTTTAGTAAGATTTTTCTTTTTGTAGGGGATGATGGGGATACTTGTAAGAAGAAATGATTTGGGAATATTAAGTAATAGCATCCTTGAGAAGTGAGAATGATTTCATTTCCTATTGCTTATTGTCGTGATCTGGTTGTTTTGTGTTCCCTAACAGAATACCAGAGAGCATATCATTTATGATGAACAGACTCATTTCTTACAGTTGTAGATTCTGAGAAGTCTGAAGTCAAGGGCGCCTCATCACATGAGAGTCCCTAGCTGCATCGTCACTTGGCCAGGGGCGTCATGGCGAGGAGAGAGCGAGGAGGGCTCACTCTGTAGTCCACCTGTGGTGACGTTGACCCTTGCATGAAGCCGAGCCCCTGACAGGGCCCACTTCTCAGCACTGTAGCATTGGGGGTTAGGTCTCGTGTGCACGTGCTTCAGGGGCACATTTAACCACAGTACTTAGTAGTTGATAGTTCACTTTAGTGGCTTCTTTTGGGGGGCGGGGCACTAACTGGTTAGGCCAGTGTCTGAGACTGTCAGAAGTTGACTGCTTTTGTGTTGTCATTAAAAAATCATGAGGAAAAATCATGGAAATGAATGAAGCACGATAACTGATGTGTTTTCTTAGCAGATGACCAAGGAGAAGGTTGTGATGGAGAATGGACACTATATTCTTTCCATTTGAGGGATTGTCTTGTATTTAGAAAATGGACATCTGTGGATGACCAGGTCTTGGTTATCCAGTGTTGCTGACCCCATGCCAGGCTAGTGGCACTGTTCTGTCTTGGTGGCATGTGTCACTCCTGTGGCTGGCAGGTTGGCTGAGACAGTGGAGGGCTGCAGTCTTCAGGGTCCCTCTTCTGCGTGGTCTATGCATGCCTGCCAGACTGGGGTGAAGACTTTTACATGGCAGTTGTGGCCAGGCCCTCTTCAGACATGAGCCAGACCTGCTACAGGGCCCTACTGTCCATCGATGACACAAGGCTCGTGATGAAGGCATGTGGTGGGGGTAAAGTCCTTGGAGGCCAGAGGTCTGACAGGCACACACAGCCAGTGATGTGGAAACCGCTGCGAGCGTGAGCAGAGGCTGCTGGCTCCATGGGAAGCTGAAGCTGCTTGCGGCACCTGGTCGAAGCTGCAAGTCAGATGAAAAATGGACAGAGTGCTTTCTAGAAGCTTCTGAGCCCACTCTGACAGGCCTGTACCTACTTTCTGAACTTTCACTTGGCAAAACCAGTTTGGAGAGAATGGATGTGTGAGGGGGACAGAGCATTTCAAAGGAGAGTCACCCCGCCTTTGCAGTAGCTGCAGCTCTGGGCCAGCGTGATGCTTCCTTCACATCCCTGGTGGTTAGGCCTTTCCTGTGTGTGCTGTCAACACTGGGCGGAGCAGTTAGGGCTGGCTGCCTGCCAGACGAAAAGGCCTGGTTGTATTTGAGCCAGTGGGATTTGCTAATGTTCTACCTTAAGTGCCTTCTCTGAAGACATCCCTCTTTGACTCATGCTTCAGTGAGAGATTTCAAGGAAAATGCCATGGGGCTGGCTTTTGTAATAATAGCAGCTGTCCTTACTCAAATTCTTCTTGCTTTGGCTCCTGACAGAAGGACTAGTGCCTGCCTTCCATCCACTGGGGGGTGCTGTGGCTGCCATTGTCTTGGACAAAATGTGTGTTGACCCCCACCCTCCCATCCCGCCTACGTGGAAGGGAAGCAGAATTGCTTCAGAGGACAAGTGTGGCCTCAAGGTGCCACCTTATTGGAAGAGGCAGTGACTCCTGTCTTCTTGTCAAGCTTACAGAGGAAGAGATTCCAATTCAGTATTTCCAGCCAGGATCCTGCATCCTGTTCCTTATGTTGCATTGTCACTTCGAGTAAGTTTTGATTTTGTGAAAATGCTTTGACTCCGGGCTCCGGGGGCAAAGCCTTTCACCAGCATACAGGGGTTTGATTGCACAACAGATCTGTTGCATTCGTGTCTCTGCCTGGAGCCGGAGATTGGTCGGTTTTGCACTTGGGATGGAAATATTCAATCCTGGCTGGCTTTGTTACAGCACATTGATGTCCCTTTGGTCTCTCAACAGTGTCAGCAAACCATCCTGCTGTTCTCTAAATGATGCCAAGACCACATTCACAGCGGTGTCCAGGTTGCTAGATCTGTCTTAGGTTTGGTGAAGGTGGTGGCAGGTTTTTGGTTACAGTCGCTCTGTGTGTGGAAGAAACAGGCAGTGGGGCTGAGAGGATGAGGGTAGCTGGAGGATGTGGGGTTGAAAAAAGAACGGAGATGAACGTTCCAGAGAGGGGTTCGTGAGGATGTCAGAGGGCCCGGCGCCAGTGGTAGGTGAGTCAGGTTACCTGAGAAACAGGTGTGCTTAGTGCCATGTGGACTCAACTCTGGGTTGATGGTGAATGTTAAATATGCACAATATCCCATAGCTGGCTGGCTATTTTATAGTGAAAAACACAGGATTTTTATATTTGGGGTGAAGAAATTATCCTGTCCATGATATTGGGTTTTTTGTTTTTTTTTTAAAAAAACCTAATTTCAAGAATCTTACTAGATTTTTTGTTTTTGCTTTTAAAAGGCCCCTCATGTCCAACGTGTGGCTCTCATTTGAAATTCATGACATTTCCAGCATGGCCAAATGGGGTGTGTGACTGTAGGACTCTTCTTGTGTCCTTGCACTCTTTACAGAGCTTAGTTGCTTCATAGCAGCCAACCATGTAGTCAGGATTATTTTTAGGGGTTAATTTAGTGGGGTTTTTAAGAGCTAATACAACATTCAGGGTTAGGGGAATGTAGAAAGGAATGCAGTTGCAAAGTGTTTTGCTGTAGGTGAGTCATCCTCAAGGAATATATACAGGCCACTACAGCCCTGTATTCTGTGTGCTTTCAGGGGAATAAAGTTTGACATAGTAAGCACATGACCCTCCCTACTTTGCAGGTGTGTTTCAAAGGATGTGTTAGCCCTTAATTTTGTTGCAGTCTTTTTTCTTCTTGAAAGATATGTTCCCAAACATAGTTACTGTATCTACCATCACTAAAAAGTTATTCCTTTGTTCACTATGGGCAGTTCACACAAGGCATAACTACCAAACAGTTGGTTTTAGTGTGTTGTATAACTTTGCTGTATATCAAACTAATTTTTACAAGTTTTCATCCTAAATCTCAAGTCATGTAATTAATAATTTGCTTGTTTATTTATGACCTAATTGTGATTCTTTCATTAATAAAAGCTAATGGAAAAGGACCCTTTATTAAGCTGATGACTAGACCTACATTTAATTTTCCTGCAGTGTATGAAGTATTGTACCAGAGTATTAAAGATATGTAATATTTTATTGATAAATCTATCCTTTAAAAGGAATACATTTTAGGATGTCATCATTTTGATGTGAATCATGTAAATGTTGATAATATGCTGTTTATTATACATGTAGTGTTTCCAGAGAGTCACTTAATTGCCTTTTGCCCACGTATATTATGTAGTCCCTTTGCAATTTTTTTTTTTTTAAATTTTAGAAAATGACGTTAAAAGAGTAGTTTATGTAGCGAAACATTAGTGGTGGTTGTTTCCCCACTTGTATTTATGGGTGTTAGTTCAACTGCTTTGCTAGTTGCAAAGCTGTATTATCAGAGTGAAAGTGTATTTGTAGACTGTATGGGACTAAAAATTAGGAATAAAAACATTTTCTTACATTATAGTATTTGTCATTTACTTCACAAGAATGACCCAGGGCCAGCCATGGCGGTGCATCCCTGTGCGGGAAGATCACTGCAAGTCGAGGGTGGCCTGTGTCACATAGTGAGTTCCGTGCCTGTCTGCACCACACATGGTGTCTCAAACACAAACAGAATTGGAAATGCTCAGGAGCAAGTGTGATCAGGGCTGTCACAGTGGCAGAATGCTGGCGCCGAGCGGCTGTTAGCTTGAAGGTGTCTGGAATTCAGAATAGATCAGTTCTGCGACGTGTTTCACCCATCACCTCATTGGTCCCAAAACATGGAGCACCTGTAAACCACTAGGCGCTGCACCTGTGCCACGTCCTGGGTGAGCAGGGAGCAGCACCCCTCAGCCCGGTGGCTGGCTGGCTGCCAGGGGAGCCAGGGCCTGGCACAGATTGTCCCTTAGGCAGCTTGATGTGAAGGTGGCCAGGACAGAGATGAGACAGCTAATCCCAGACAGGCTAAGTAAGCAGATGGCAGGGGCATGGTTTCCCCTAGCAGAAGGGCTCTCCTGGGTCACCACCCCAACCACTAGGGATTCCAGAAAGGGACCGTACACAGACATCCTCTGGCCCATGTCATCCCTCCTGAGCTCCAGGATGTTGGAGGCCAGTGGCGGACCTGTCCTTAGTCCAAGGAAGAACCTCCTGCTGCCATAAATGTGTAGGTGAAAGGCAGGGTGGGGACACGCTCCTCACATCAGTGTGGGTAGAAATGCAGCTACCAGGAGCCTTTGCAGTGATGGAGATAGGATTAATAGAAATGGGGTACGGTTCTCTACCATAGTAGGGGCGGCTTGGCCAGCTTTCTGTCACTGAGATGAAATTCCTGATGCCTGCAACTTAGGAGAGGTTTATTTGCCTTGGGGACTCAAGTTTAGGAACAACAGGGAGGAAAAGCCGGGCCGAGCAAAGCTACTCACCTCCCAGTGACTGGGAAGCAGTGCAGGGACCAGTACTGGAGGAGAAGGGGCTGGGGCCCAGATACCGTGCCCAGCGCCACGCCTCCACAACCCTCCCAGACACACCCAGAAGGCCTTTACTCATCTGCTATGCTTCCCTTAATCTGGTCTAGTTGGCAGGCAACCATGGCTAACTACAATTAATTGTACATTTTAACATGGTAAAGAGGGCTTTGAAGGTTCCCAGCACAAAGCAAGGATCAATCATTAAAGTGGCTCATGCAGGCCTCAGCTGCCAGCTTTGTGTTTTGGGGTAAATCAGCCCAGAACTGAACCAACCTGAAGTGCAAGGCCAAGTTTCAGGAACAGAAACAGCCTGGAAGTAAGAGAACTGCTTTCAGAAGATCCAGCACGCCAAGCCCTGGCAGCCGTGAGGGTTTTCCTGACTTTGTTCATTAAATCTGGGGTGTGTGTGTGTCATTTCTCCTGATCAAACCATAATACATTGTATGCATCTATTCCAGTATCATACGGTATCCCATAAATATGTGCAGTTGTGTGTTAATATAAAAATGAAAAAAAAAAAGTACCAAAATAAGGATTGCAAACAAGCAATAGCATATTGCAAGGCCTGTGTGCGGTTTGTGGGCAAAGGAATCAGGTGTGATTTTTAGACCTCACGTCAGCTCTGTCTGGAAAGAGCGTGGCATGCCAACCCGCAAGCCATCTTCTGGGTCCTAATCCTTCCCCACTCATGGATACTCTGCAACAATGTAGCGCACACGTACTTTGGTGTGTCCGTTCTAAATCTGCGATTAGCCACTTGGCACCAGCTTGTTTTGCTAGCATTCCCTCGTTCCCTCGGATAACTCATGATTTAAAATGAGTCATTTCAGGGCTGGCAAGATAGCTCAGCTGACTAAAGTGCCTGCTTAGGCAAGCGCAGGGACTGTGGTT